CTATCCGGTACGGGGGCGGAAAACTATACATACGTGGTTAGTTATTAATTTCTGTTTGATTATCCCTAAGCTGAAAAGTAGGAACTATGTGAAACTGATAAGTCATATATATGGATCCGTTTCAATTCCAACAATGCATTTAATATTTATGAAAATACTGACGTGACTGAATATAGCATTTTCCCCATTACTTTATTCATCCTTTCTGATGGTTTCGTTGCTTAGAATGATACTATTTTATCTTTTAGTGAGTTTTACATAACTCTCTTGAACTCTCTCATTTAAATAGTGAATATGTTTATAAATAGGCAGCCATGACTATATAAATAATTTATAATGTTATTGCATAGTTTCTTAATGTAAATTACTCCTTTAAAAAAGAGGGAAACTATATGATACCTGGTACTCATGTAGCTGTTATGTATAGAATTGATACAGTTTATAACAGTTTATAACCATGAAAAGACGCATTTGACAGTTTTTGAGATTATTTCCTCTAAAAGTACTTTTAACGCAGTTATTTTAGCGTCAAATGTAATTGATAAAGTTACAGATATAAGGTAATTATTAGATAGAATATGGCTCTCTTAATAAATCTCATTAGTAGGATCAGTTGGACAGTAAGATCTTAATATTTTTTAGATATCTTAAGTATGCAGTAGCATTGAATCTTAAATACAACACACTTTTGCCTTCCGGAAGTAGCGTGTATTTAAAAAACAAAGAAGGAAATGCAAATAAAAAGAAAAGCCCTCTTTAATAAAAAAAAGAGAAAAAAATGTCCTGCCCGGATGATTTGTCTTTTTTTCTCCCTCAGCCGAGTTGGGACTTGAAAAGTAAACAAAGTTTTAATTTCCTTCAATGATTTCTCTGGCCATTTGTTTCAGCCCAACGTAACCAGGATAGCCCCGGTCTCATAATCAAGTTAGATAAATCTAAATCCTTTGCGATAAGCGGCTGTAGAATAGCCTAGCCTCCTAGCCCCCGATGCTCCTAAGGACCCGATGTCTCCATCAAAGTTCTCCCGTCTCCGTCTCTCTCCGTCTTCCTCCTCCTAAATGGGTTAGCCCGGGGAAAATGGAGGAGGGGCGCTACAACTACGGCGACGGCGACGGCTACGAATTAGAGTGCCACAGTCGGGGCGAGTGAATAGAATTTGTAATTTCCGTTTTCGTTTTGTATGCTAACCCCATGCCATATACCCACTCCCCACTCACTGAGTGACCCCCTTTTAACCCCCTGCAGGACACACACACCCACACACTCGCAGACCGAAACACACACTTAAAGCCTGACAATGAGAAACCGTATCCCGGAGAACTGATGTTTGCTGCACTGCAGCCTTCAAGCAGTTCAATTGGTTTCGGGGCTAAAAGGAGTGGGGCCGGGCCACCCGGAATACTTATGACGATGACTAAACACTCTGCTGGCCATGTTTGCGATTGCATTTAAAGATGAGAGGCCAGTGAAATGGTTTTCCATTTGCTAAAAAATCGACCAGGTGACTGCCGAAATGCATTTCTCCTGTTGGTTTAACTTGAATTTGTTTTCTTTGGAAACTCGCACTGTTGACACCTACATTTCTGATGGCTTTTCAAAATTAAGCTAAGAAACAGTACTGGAAATAATAATACGACATTAAAACCATGTATTTACCAAAAAAGGCTTGTCAGCTATGACAGCTATGGGATATAGTCGGCCGATCCTAATAAAATTTGGTAGGTTGGATCAACTGACCAAAAATAGAATCTCTTCCATTGTGTGAAGTTCGATTGTTTAGTTGTATGGCAGCTATAGGATATAGTCGGCCAATCCCAGCCATCCCGACTTACTGAGTCCAAAATAAAGAAGGGTGTGTACAAAGTTTCAAGTCCAAAGCTTTAAACTGCATATCCTCTCAGGAGACGATCCTGATCAAGAATATATATACTTTATAGGGTAAGAGATTTCTTATTAACCGCGTTGCACACTTTTGACCAAAATTATAAAAAGGGTATAAAAAAAAATAAGCATACTAACAAGCTGTACATGTGTCGGAATCATCAAGAGACCCACTTTTATACAAAAAAAAAAAAATAAATAAAGGCTTACACCGATTATTGTAAGGAACAACAACTTATTCAGAAATTAATATAAAAATAAAATCAGTTAAAAAATTTAAAAAATAATGAGCAAAGAAGCAAGCTCTACATGGAACCAAAATGCATTTCATTAAATGTTTAAAACACTGTTCCATGAAACCACAAGAATTAATCCAACGATTTGGGGATCATGAAATACTTTTTTACAAAACAAAAAAAAAATCAAAGAAAATAATGAAAAATTACAAGCACCAACACCTTATTCCCATATTATTCAAAAATAATGATTATAAAAATAAATAAAACAAGAGCTTTGAAACAAAATGAAACCTTAAGAGCTCATCCGTCGATGTCTTCAATGTGTGGGAGTCATCAAGAGACCCACTTTTATACAAACCAAAAAAAAAATAAATAAAGGCTTAATTAAAATAAAGAAATTAATATAAAAATAAAATCAGTTTAAAAATTTAAAAAATAATGAGCAAGGAAGCAAGCTCTACATGGAACCAAAATGCATTTCATTAAATGCTTAAAACACTGTTCCATGAAACCACAAGAATTAATCCAACGATTTGGGGATCATGAAATACTTTTTTACAAAACAAAAAAAAAATCAAAGAAAATAATGAAAAATTACAAGCACCAACACCTTATTCCCATATTATTCAAAAATAATGATTATAAAAATAAATAAAACAAGAGCTTTGAAACAAAATGAAACCTTAAGAGCTCATCCGTCGATGTCTTCAATGTGTGGGAGTCATCAAGAGACCCACTTTTATACAAACCAAAAAAAAAATAAATAAAGGCTTAATTAAAATAAAGAAATTAATATAAAAATAAAATCAGTTTAAAAATTTAAAAAATAATGAGCAAGGAAGCAAGCTATACATGGAACAAAAATGCATTTCATTAAATGCTTAAAACACTGTTCCATGAAACCACAAGAATTAATCCAACGATTTGGGGATCATGAAATACTTTTTTACAAAACAAAAAAAAAATCAAAGAAAATAATGAAAAATTACAAGCACCAACACATTATTCCCATATTATTCAAAAATAATGATTATAAAAATAAATAAAACAAGAGCTTTGAAACAAAATGAAACCTTAAGAGCTCATCCGTCGATGTCTTCAATGTGTGGGAGTCATCAAGAGACCCACTTTTATACAAACCAAAAAAAAAGAAATAAAGGCTTAATTAAAATAAAGAAATTAATATAAAAATAAAATCAGTTAAAAAATTTAAAAAATATTGAGCAAGAAAGCAAGCTCTACATGGAACCAAAATGCATTTCATTAAATGTTTAAAACACTGTTCCATGAAACCACAAGAATTAATCCAACGATTTGGGGATCATGAAATACTTTTTTACAAAACAAAAAAAAAATCAAAGAAAATAATGAAAAATTACAAGCACCAACACCTTATTCCCATATTATTCAAAAATAATGATTATAAAAATAAATAAAACAAGAGCTTTGAAACAAAATGAAACCTTAAGAGCTCATCCGTCGATGTCTTCAATGTGTGGGAGTCATCAAGAGACCCACTTTTATACAAACCAAAAAAAAAGAAATAAAGGCTTAATTAAAATAAAGAAATTAATATAAAAATAAAATCAGTTCAAAAATTTAAAAAATAATGAGCAAAGAAGAAAGCTCTACATGGAACCAAAATGCATTTCATTAAATGTTTAAAACACTGTTCCATGAAACCACAAGAATTAATCCAACGATTTGGGGATCATGAAATACTTTTTTACAAAACAAAAATCAAAGAAAATAAAGGATCATACCAGCCAACATAGAGTGGGAGCGGCACATGGAGACCGAGTGGTAATAGAATTAATAAAAAAAAAACATAAAAAAATAATAAATAAAAAGAAACAGGGAAAAGTTAACTGGTTGGAGAGCAGTTAACGAATGACTGGGAATTGAAAGACGGCTGCCTTTTATACTGTTCATGGACAAAAACAAATCCCCCAGGGCCTACTAATTTCGAGAACAAATTATTTTCAGAATGCATTTATCGATTGTTCGTAGGGCTGCAACATGCAAGAGGCAATACGTTCAGTCACCTGTAACCCTGGCATCTGGCTATCGAAATTGTTAAGTTTTTGAAAAATATTGGTAAGAAATATTAAATATTAAATAAATGGCGACACACTCTACTGGTAGTGTCGCTAAAACTAAAGTGATTAACAAAACAAGAAAGGAAAGCTAACTTGGGGCGGAGTCGAAGTTGATATACCCTTGCAGTTAAAACCGGATATATATCGGAAACATCGGATATAGTTGGCCGATGAAATCTGGTAGGTTGGATCAACTGACCAAAAATAGAATCTGTAGTAAGTTTCAGCTTTCTATCTTCAAAAACAAAGTTGGGTCATTATCGATCGTTCAGTTATATGGCAGCTATAGGATATAGTCGGCGATCCGGGCCGTTCCGACTTATATACTGCGTGCAAAGGAAAGAAGGGTGTGTGCAAAGTTACAGCTTTAAAACTGAGAGACTAGTTTGCATAGAAACAGACAGACGGACAGACAGACGGACAGACGGACATGCTCATATCAACTCAGGAGGTGATCCTGATCAAGAATATATAGACTTTATAGGGTCGGAGATGTCTCCTTCACTGCGTTGCACACTTTTGACCAAAATTATAATACCCTCTGCAAGGGTATTACCAGTTGAAGAAATACATTGTGGAGTTAAGTTAAATGTTTTGTCTTTAAAAACTCTCACATGTGTTTTGTAGATATTTTTGAAAAACATGTTTTGAAAATTTTGAGGGAATATATATTATTGGGTATCGGGGTCACCAATTGGGGTCACCATATACAACTTAATGTACGATTTGAGCTAACCATAAAAATTATTAAGAGATAATTTCTTAAAAATAGTTAACTCACCTTGAGCCTGCCCCTGGACAGTCGTTGTGGCAGAAATCCTGTGCAGCAACTGGATCTCTTGGATGATGTCCTGGTTCTCCTGGACCAACTGGAACTTTTTCTTTCCTATGACTATTTCCTAGTGACCCTTTCGCCTTTTCCGACGCCTCCGCCAAGCCACGTGACCCAAAAGCTGCGCTAGTCGGGCGGCAAACTGCCGGAAGTGGCGCCACTCCGCGCAACTTGCCACCGCGATGAGCAGCATGGAGTTGAGGCCCAGGGCCAGCGACGCCGCCGAGCTGCCCAGATTCCCCTTGGTCAGCTGATCGGAGCAACGACCGATGGAGTCGATGTCCAGCTCACTCATCACCCGGCCATTCACCTCCAGCGGAGAAATGCAGTAGTTCTTCTGGAGAAAATCGCTCAAGTTGTGCGCCCCCTCGGCCAGGGGGCCGTCGAGCAGCGTGTGTATGTGGCAGCCACACGGAAAGTGGTTGTTGACAAGCTGCAATTGCTCCACGCCGTCCACGATGATGGCGTTCGGATCGGGGGTCTCCAGGACATGGTTGCCGAAGAACTTCAAGTGCTTTATAGCCGCGGACGCTGTGAAGTTGAGCTCCTCGATCGAGTCGATTTTGTTGTTCAGGATCTGCAGAGTCTCCACCTGGGCGAGTCCTGTGAAGGCGTCGGCGCATATCACACCCAGGTCGGACTCCTGGAGCGTCAGCAGGAGGACGTTCGTCAGGCCGCGAAATGTGAAGGGGGCCACCTCCTTGAGATCCATGTAGGCCAGCTTCAGTAGGCCCACCGTGTCCATGCCGTAGAAGGCGTCCTGCTCGATGCTCCTGATGCCCGACGGCAGGATCAAGTGCCCCACGTTGGTGAGACTCGAGAACGCCGAGCTGTCGATCCGGATCAGGGGATTGTTCGTCAGCAGGATCAGCTTGATGTTGGACGTTCCGGCGAAGGCGTTGCCCTCGATCCTCTGGATCTGGTTGTGACTTAGCAGGATCGTCGACAGATTCTGCAGTCCGGCAAAGGCGAACTGGGCCACCGTCTGCAGGGGCGTGTACTGGATCGATAGCTCCTTCAGCCGGGGCAGACCCCGGAAGGCGAACTGCCTGATCCTGGTTATGTTGTTGCCGTCCAGCGAGAGCTTCTTCAGCGCCCGCAGGCCGGCGAAGGAGTCCGGCTTGATGATCGGGAAGTTGTTCTTGGTCAGGGCCAGGTTCTCCACCGTTGCCGGCAGCTGGCGGAGCGGGATCTGCTCAAGACCTCCGGTGTTGCACAGAACCTGCAAGTTGCAGGGATAAGAGTTTATTAATTACTGATTTTTAAATAAAATTGAATAATTTCTTAAACTAAGTTGAATATCTCTCAAAGCTAACATTATCTAATGTATTTTTTTTGGAATTCAAGGATTTTTAGAAACAACGATGGTCATCCCCAATGAACATCCTTTTGATGTGCAACATTTATTCAGGAATCGTAAAAGCCAGCTTGTGGCAGCCAATAGGTTGACTTTTGTATTTAAACTCATCGACTCATCAAAGGTTCTGGCTCTTAATCAGTTTGTGTTTTCTTGCTTTATGACATTTTCCGTCTGCTCCTGTTCGTGCCACATGCCGCATGCCCCGCTGCCCAGCTACGGTACTGGGGTGGCATTGATACCTCCGTCATGGCAACTGACAGCCGCTGGGCAATCAGATCAGAGACGCCACAAAAAGTAGAGGACAAGGAGGATGGGGCGAACAGGAGGATGGGGGGGGTGGATGCCTTGGGAATGGAGTGACTTCGTTTGATGCGTGGCGCGAAAATTGAATTTGTGGCTTTATTGCTGAAAATAAAATTAAATCGAATTCTTTTTTTTTTTGTTCGTTTCGCCGAAATGGCCGTGTCTAGGTGTGAGGATGGAGTACCTCCTCCTACTCGTCTCCCGTCTCTAGCTCCTATTTCTCTACGTCCTCCTCTTCCTTCTCCTCCTCCACCACTTTCTCTTCTCCTCCTCCTTCATTTTCTAGCTTTGTTTTGTCGCCCATCATTCGCCTTTCGTCTTTGGCTCTTCTGCTTTGCGCCTTCATTTTTTATAACTATTATGTGCTGATGTGTGCGTTTCCTTGAGTATTTTCACCTTCTTCTGCACTAGCCTTGGCATACACTTGGAGAAATTGATTGTAAAAAATATATATTCTTTTAAGAAAAAAAAAGGTTTTTAGCTTTTAAAGCAAATATATGTAATTCAGTTAACAGTTCAGTTGGGCTTTTATTAGATTTTTAATACGTTTGTAGTAAAGTTTAACTTTTTTATGATTTTATCAAAACATTTGATAATTCTAATAATTTTCCCAAATTTGTATATACTTTTATATACTTATTTCAATACTTTTATCTAGAAAAATGTTTGAACTTGAACAGAACTTATGAGTTATTAGAGCTATTTGAGAATGGTCCCAAAATTCTGTTTCGCTTTATGCTGATGTTAAATACATACATATACCTTATACACAGAACTTATAACTCGAATATTGATTAATATAATACTATTATAAAATACTTTAATTATAATATTGATCACTACATAAGTATATTAGATGCTAGTTCTGCTGGACTTTTTTATTTATTTTCAAAACCTTTTAGAAATCTCATTTTCGATGAGATCTCATTTTTATTTCTGCACCTACAGTGTCTTATCTTTTCTAATTTTATTTTATAGTCAATATTGTTCAAAAATTATTTTAATAAAATTATTAAAAATTAGTATTTAAAATATACTTGTAGAAACAATTTTAAGTTTTGAAAAAGGTATACCAATTTTCATTAATGGATATTCTATCCATTCCATCCATTTCGTCCATACTATCCATACTATCCATTATATACTATACTATTCTAAAAGAAACAACATTTTTGTCAAGTGTATATTTTTTGGGGGACCTAGCCGGGGGCTGCCCCGCCACTGGTGACTTTCAAGCTGCTGTGCATAACTGTCCATCGCTTGTCACGTTTCTCTTGACCTCCTCCCGGCGTCTATTGTTCCCGGACCCCAGATCCGGACCTGGACTTTGGGCACCCATACCCCCGCCCCTGCTCCCCCTCGCACCACTGGAGCCACCTAGCCAGGCAGTGCACTTCTTGCGTAACATTTGCACAATTTTCATACGCTTCACCTTTTTAAATGAACGAATTAAAAGTTTTCTTTCCTCTCGTTGGCCGCCTCTTCTTGGGTACCGTTAGTCAGCCCCAACCGCCTTGCTCTAGAATTGTTATTGTTGGCCCCGGTACCGTTACGTTCTGTTTCTGTTGCTGTTGCTGTTGCTGTTCCTGTTTCGTTTTTTGGCTTTCTTTGCCTTTCTGTTTTTTGTGAGATTCTGTTTCTGTTTCAGTTTCTGGTTCGTTTTGGTTGCGTTGTTCGATTTAATGAAATTTCGTTTCCATGCATTCAGAGACGCGAATTCAAGCGACACGGCTAAAAAGTCCCTTGTTCGCTGAACTTTAACTGGGCACCAAAGGGGTGGGCAAAGATGTTGGAGAAAGTGGACGTGAAAAGGAACGAGCAACGAAGGCCGACCCCAAAAAACTGTGCTACACTTTTGTTACCTTTCTGCGACCTGAACTAATTTCGCCTCTTAAATACAGGACAAAGCTGTTGCAGAAAAAATGATGTCTGCAACGGCGAGAAAGGACCAAAAAATAAGTAAATCATTGCATTGTCCATAATCTGAAATAATGAAATCACTTAAGTTCTCAATTTGGTAAAAATGACGCTGCCAAGTTCCCGCTGGTAATAAGGATGCGCATTAAGCATGCTCCAGGCTCTCGGGGGACACAATTGAATCCTGCCAACACAAATGCCGGGGGCGTGGCAAAAGCACAACTAAAAAACAAAAAAAAAAAAGACAGGCACAGACACAAACGCAGAAACAAAAGGCATACAAAACAAAAAAAAAAACAACTGGAAAAAAACTAAGAGAAAATAACCATTTTCCTGCATTTTCGATTTAATTTTTGTGCTCATCACTGGGCCAACGAGGCCGTAGAAGCATCTGTGGCCATTGCCTGACCACCAGTTCCCCAGAGATCCTCCTCTGTTCCAAATTCTCCAGCTCCTGCTCCTGCCACTGTTCTGTGTGTCTTCTGCTTCCATCTCTTTTGTTGCCTTTGACTGCTGCCACTTCTGCTACAGCTACTGATGATGATGCCCAGCCATGCACCACCGTGGTGCCACCATGGCGCTAAGGCACCACTGTGCCACTCTGCCACTTGCAACTTGCCACTGTTGCACTGTGGTGCCGGCGAGCTTTGACCAACTTTTTGCCCAAAAACCCAAATAGAATTAAAACTTAAACAATAGAAGTTCCGAGGAAGAACAGAAGGACTGCTATTTACGGTGGTTCCATACATGAATTGCTAAAAATTGTTAAATTGTAAAGATAAAAGATTTGTATTATCTCAAATCAGTAAAATGAATAAACAAAATGATATTGAAATACTAAATAATCATTTTATATTTTATTTTATTAAGTATCCGCCATGCCCGCCATTTTAAGAATATTTCTTAAAAAATCATTTTTAAAATATTTTAAGCTGTTTTTCTTACACTTACATAATTCAGTACCAATTTAAAAATGTTTGTTTCAAAATTAAAACTAAGCCTTTGGAATTAGGTTAGGTTCTTGTTAATATTACGTATACGCCCTGTGATGCGAGTGCGGCTTAGCTTTAATATTTTTTCGGTTTAAAAAGTATGGGTCGGGGCTTGTAGGTTTTAAAAGTGGAAGAAGATTTCTTCAGACTTATAGAATTTCTTTAAAATTATAGAATCAGAACCATTTTTTTAAAAATAACGTACGCCCTGTGAATTTATTGCTGAAGCTTATTATTTCGTTCAATTCGTTTTAAGTTTTTGTATTTTTATCATAATTTCTATCTAGTATAGGGTTTGTAAGAGAACTTAGAATGAAGGGGCTGAATTATTTATTACTGTGTTTATGCGATGTTGAATTTACGTTTAAGTTTTACGATTTGAGCCGATTCGTGTGTGTATAAACGCCATTTCATGAATTCGCAACACACGATATGACTACGATTTCATCCTCAAAGCATGAATTGGTGGTATAAATCAGGTTGATCATAAAAGTTAAAATTCAATAAAATTTCCCCTTAGCAACTTTGGAAATTAATTTTCCGGTTCTTACGGTTCTGCTTGGTTTGTTTATATTATGTGAAAGTCGGACCTGACTGAAAAAACTAATTCTACACGGATGGCATCTCTCTTAAAATCAAATAACAAAATGATATGTGTCGCATAAAAAGGGGTTATTTCTATATCACGCTTTCAAGAATTTCAGTAAATAACTCATACTATATACAGCCACATATATTACTCATACGCCATGTTATCCTATCTCAAAAATATGCTATATTTTTTTTAAATAAATTTCGAGTCAACAGTTTTGTAAATTTTTTTTAAATTGAGTTCTTGGGGTTATTATTCGTTATTTTTATTCGTTATTCCTTAAGATTTAGTTCACCTAATAAAATATTTCATGTACTTTTTTTAATATTGACTGAGCTCTTGGAATGAATTTGATTTGATATCGAAACAAAGGGAATATCAGCCACTGTGCGGAGGAAGCTAGGAAGTGCCCCTCACCCCAGGCAGCGCTAACCCTAACCAGGACAAGCAGTACAACTATTGTAGATTGTTAAGCTTACTTGAGTCTGGGACAAGCAGATGCACTCGGGTGGGCATGATTTGGATGTTTCGGTTTGTTGCGAGTTCCACAGGCAGACGACGACGGAGAGCGCAATTATGAGCAGCAGCCAGGAATTGCACATTTCACGTTGTTGCTGACACGACAGTTTGGCGGCGTAATTGAGCTCGATTCTCTCTTGTTGTCCGGCTGCTGCTCCCCCGCTCTTTGGCTCCCTCTCTCAGTCGCTCTGGCCGCGCTGCTCCTCCGTCTGTCCTGGCGACTCTTCTGCTGATTTCTTCTTTTTGGGTTGTCTTCTTTGCTCTTCTTCCTCCTCTGCTGCGCTGCGATGCTCCGCTTTCTCCTCTTCTCCTGGCACTTTTCTTAGTTATTTATGTTTTTATATTGCGTTATTTCATTTGAACTTTCTTCCTCTTCAGACGCTGCTTTTGCTTCTTTTTCTTCTGGCGTTGCGACTTGTACGTTTTTATTTATTTTTTTCCTTTCTTCGTTCGTTCTTGCTTTCTCTTTTTGTATTATTATATATTCTTAAGCTTAATCATATTTATTTGCGCTTCTTCTACCGCCTCGGCTGCTGTGTGGAGGCGTGGCCATGCCGATAACTGCAAAGATAGACAGAGAAGGAGTGAGAGATTGTTAAAGAGTGTGAGGACACTAAAGGGGTGGGGGATTGTTAGAGATGGCAATTGTGAAGTTCGAGTTAGCAGAGAGCCCAAAGTGAAGCAATGCGACACTTAAAAGTTATGACTTACTCGAACTAAATGGAAATACAATACATGTCACACACAACTGTATATAGATATATGGCCAAAAGTTTAGAATGAGTACATAGGTAAAAGAATCTGAAATAGGTATACATAGTTATTTACCTATACATAGATTTCTACACTAAGCCTCCAAGGGATCTAAGACTAACTTCAATTGGTTCCATGTAGAAAGAGACGATGTTTAAATTTGAACAAATATAAGAACTTTCTTCAAAACACGAAATTTAGTTTGGAAACCTAGTATATGACTTCGTTTGTAACTAGTTTTTTTACCAAACAACTCTGTTAACTCTATTTTGTTGGGAATACACAATGGTCTTTTCTTGAAATCCACAGTTACGTAGCCCTGGATTTTTTTTAAAAGAGTCCAAGTAGCCTTTGCATTTTTTAGAACCACACCTTAGCACAAAAATCAACATATTTTCGTCAGTCGTCGCTCGGCATTCGCTCGACCATCAAGTTTCTTCTTTTCTTATTTATGTTTACTTTTTATTTTCATTTTTTGAAGAAAATAATTATTATTGGGCACTTCCTTTTTGTTAGAATCCCATAAATAAATTCTTCATGGTAATATGTGGCATCTGTAAATATTCGGAATATATATTTTTTTTTTAGTTAAATATTTTTTTTCCTGAAGTACCATGGTCCTTAAAGATGTGCCTTCAAAAATCTTTCCTTCAGTCTGCCGGCTTTTTTGTTATTATTTGCCATTTATTATAATTCATCATTAATATTCATCTTATTATACCCTTGCAGAGGGTATAATAATTTTGTCCAAAAGTGTGCAACGCAGTACAGGAGACATCTCCAACCCTATAAAGTATATATATTCTTGATCTGGATCTTCTCCTGAGTTGATATGAGCATGTCCGTCTGTCTGTCTGTCCGTTTCTACGCGAACTAGTCTCTCAGTTTTTAAGCTATCGTCTTGAAACTTTGCACACACCTCCTCCTTGCACAAAGTATTTAAGTCGGAACGGCCCGGATCGGCCGACTATATCCTATAGCTGCCATATAACTGAACGATCGAAAATGACCCAACTTAGTTTTTGAAGATAGAAAGCGGAAACTTAGTACAGATTCTATTTTTGGTCAGTTGATCCAACCTACCAGATTTCATCGGCCAACTATATCCGATGTTTCCCCCCCTGGGGGTGGAGGATACGACAAAACGGCGGTGTCCGTATTTCCCACCTCAGCTATCTGGTCACCCTATTCTTGTGGTTTCATGGAACAGTGTTTTAAACATTTAATGAAATGCATTTTGGTTCCATGTAGAGCTTGCTTCCTTGCTCATTATTTTTTAAATTTTTTAACTGATTTTATTTTAATATTAATTTCTTTATTTTAATTAAGCCTTTATTTCTTTTTTTTTTGGTTTGTATAAAAGTGGGTCTCTTGATGATTCCGACACAATGAAGACATCGACGGATGAGCTCTTAAGGTTTCATTTTGTTTAAAAGCTCTTGTTTTATTTATTTTTATAATCATTATTTCTCTTCGAATGACGAATTATAGTACCTCTTGGGGCTTCAATGAACATTGTTTAAAGCCTTTTTTAAAATGGCTTTTTTATTTATTTTGTTACTATGCTTATTTTTTGTATACCCTTTTTATAATTTTGGTCAAAAGTGTGCAACGCGGTTAATAAGAAATCTCTTACCCTAAAAAGTATATATATTCTTGATCAGGATCATCTCCTGAGCGGATATGAAGTTTTAAGGCTTTGGACTTAATACTTTGCACACACCCTTCTTTATTTTGGACTCAGTAAGTCGTGATGGCTGGGATTGGCCGACTATATCGTATAGCTGCCATATAACTGAACGATCGAACTTCACACAATGGAATTTAGTACAGATTCTATTTTTTGTCAGTTGATCCGACCTACCAAATTTTATTAGGATCGGCCGACTATATCCTATAGCTGTCATATAACTGAACGATCGGAAATGGTATTTGGTAGAAATATCAACTTTTGTATTTTTGAAGATAGAAGCTTAGTATTTTTTTTTTAGATTTTTTATTTTAATTAATTGGTTTTATAATGATGTAATCATAAGGATCGGCCAACTATATCCGATGTTTGCGATATATATCCGGTTTTAACTGCAAGGGTATATAAACTTTGGCTCCGCCCGAAGTTAGCTTTTCTTTCTTGTTTTTATTTTATTTTTGCTAAATATTTTCCTTTCAACTAATTTATACATATCTTATATTTTCAAATTTGTATAAATATTTTTCTTCCAAGTAGGCCTTAAACCCAAATGTCAATTGTAGCCCCAAACTGATTTCCCATTCCTAGTCATTAAACGTTTGGTCTCCGAACTGTGAGGTCGAATTTAAAATTAGGAGTCTGATATTTTTTGAAATTATAAATCGTACGAAATTCCCGTTTTTATTTTAGTATTTGTCAGTTCTACAATAATTTTTAAAATGGTGACATCAAAAGCGCTCATGGACAAGATGCGTCCAAACCAGACGCACAAGCGGCGTTCAGTATTTAGTTCTTTCAAGCGTGGTGGTACCGTAGTGACGAAACCCGTGGCAAAACCATTCAAAAGATTCATAAAGAACCAGACAGGGGGACAAATTTCATCAAGCGGGGAAAAGTGGGACGAAATTGAAGTTAATCCTGAATCATAAATGTCAGCGTAATGTCAGCGCCGCAACTGTAAGTTCCAGGGATCTATAGCCCTATAGTTTTATAATGTGGTTCTCCATCTTCAGTATGCCACGTCCGATTTGATGGCTGCAGAATCGCACAGAGGATCGAGCAGCTGGCCAGACGCAGATGTTACACCCAACGAGATGCAAATCATTCTACGCCATCGTTACAACAAGTGGCACAAATGACACTTACTTATGTGTTATCCAAGATAAATTCTGAGGATTTTAAAATGTATATTTCTGGATCTTCTGTATTTCAAAATTTGTTTTGAATTTGAATAAATTGTTCATGGCTCAGAGTCACTGAAATACAAGTGGTAGAGGTGGTGGTGGTTGTGGAAATGCAAAAATTGGTATTTAATCTGATTTAATCTGATTTTATATGCTAAAGCTGTTATATAACTGACTGATCAGAAATAGAGTTTGGTAAAAATACCAATTGGTATTTTTGAATATAGAACTTGAGACTTTTTTTTAAGATTTTCTTTTCCAAAAAATTGTGTTGTGATATTCTCATAAGAATCGGTCGGTTCTAACTGCAAGGGTATATCAACTTCGGCTCCGCAGGAAGTTAGCATCCTTTCTTGTTTCTTTTTTTTCTGATATTCTTATTTTATTTATTAATTTAATGTTTGGAGAATCATTTGGTTCTAACTGGGTTCTATAATCGTAGCTCAGGTTAAAGGCTATCGATTCATTGAGCGATTTATCATATTAAAATGTATTTTTTACGAATCTTTATGTTCTAATAACTCCTATAATATCGGATGACTATATCCTTTGACTGTACTCTCGCATAACTTCAGAAGTTGATAAGCTTTAGCTTAATTTAAATTTAACTTAGACTCTTTGTATTACTTTCATTAACATGTTTTTCTTTAATTTGTGAATAAGATTTTCATAATGAAACCTATTTAAGAAATAGTGTTTGAGTTACTAAAGATGGAAAATATATGATCTTAATGTTCTAAAATATGATAAAACATATATTTTCAGTTCCTGCTTGGCCATTAGCTAGTAGCTACGCTGTTTCCTATTTGTTGTGTGATTTGTATTCCCTGTAGTGGGCTTCACTGTGGGCCAAAGGTGGCATTTAATTTCGCTTGTCGCCTGGCTGGCCTGTGGCTGGCTGAGCCCCTTCCCCAAAGTCCTAGTGTCCTCGTGTCCTGGTCTTGTCCGCTCAAAGCCTTCGACATATGCAACATTTATGGTCGGATTAGAATCCGGCTGGCAAGGGAACCGAGGGGAGGACTGGGACGGGGAGTGGCCAGGAGGTGACAGGACAAGCCAGATGTGACAGCCAGGAGACAGAAGACTGCCAAGATGCAGATGCAGATGCTGAATTGTGAAAGATTTGAAGTTGGAGGGGGGCATCCGGGCGGCATCCGGGCTGGAAGCCTCGTCTCCAAATAGCAGCCTTGTTAATCATTTATAATAAATAATGCTCAGGTAGGAGTTAAGTTGCAGGAAAAGCAGGGAAGGCCAGGAGCAGCCAGGCCAGGCAGAGCGGAGGCGGCGGCAGCAGGATCCGAGGCAGCATCAGCACGGAAAGGATGAACAAAGCCAAAGCAATATAATAACTGAAATTACTCCAAAGAGAATTTTCAATGAGGCAATGTCGCTTGCACTTGCCACTGCCACTGGCACGGCAGGTGGGCGGGAGTGGGGGACGGTGCTAAACTTGGTGGCTTAAAAGGAGGCAGACGGGTGGTGTGCGGAATGGGACGTGGGGCGTGGCAAAGCTGCCGGTTGACACAGCTTGTTTGAAATGTTTAAATGCACAAATCAAATATGCAAGCAGTCCAAACTCCAAACTGGCCAGCACAGCACCTGATGTTAGAGAAGTTAACCCCTGTTCAGTATCCTGGTGACCCCCCTTAACCTCTCCCCTCCCCCCTCTCTCCTCTCACTTCGATTCATGTCCAAATCCGTGCTGCAGCTTCGGCTTTTAATTGGACACTGAGGATGGCAAAAAGGAGCTGGCAGGATCTGGCAGGACAACTGAAGACTTGAGCCTGGCAGGACGAGGAGCAGAAGGAGGAGCATCAGCACAATAATAAATAAGCGCAGGCATAAATGCGTGACATTATAATTGGAAACCAACAAAGCCGGCCCAGCAGAGTGAGCCTGGCTAATGCAATTCACAGATGCATTTGTTTAACCTG